CTTTAGTATTACTTGTAATATTCATCAGGATTCCTTTATTGTTGAGATTGTTTCTCTTGTGCCTTGTTGGGTACCCAGGAGAAGAGTTGGGAACTGAAGCCTCTTCTTTTCTTGCCGTTCTGTGCACCGGGCTAATCTGGGGCGACCTCTCTCTGCGACGTCTCCTTTGCAGGCGAAGGGAAATGGCAGAGCGCGAGAGGCGGGAGCGCGAGCGGATCCGACTGCTGCGGGAGCGTGAAGAGCGGGAGCGGCTGCAGAGGGAGCGGGAACGACTGGAAATAGAGCGGCAGAAGTTGGAGCGGGAGAGGATGGAGCGGGAGCGCCTGGAGCGGGAACGCATTCGGATTGAGCAGGTGCGCTGGGGGCTCCCATTCGTCTCGTTTCCCTCGGGAGCGCCTCTAATTGCGGAGCGGTGTACACAACATTTCAAACTTCTGCGAGGTGTTTGAACCTCAGGGCAAAATGGCTGTTTCGTCGCTCCAACTTTATTGGAAGTGTGCCAGCCCAGTTTGGATGTTTAGGAAGTGCCCGAACCCAAAACGAAGCTTTAGAAGAAGGAACGTGGGAGCTGCGTATCTGCCGTGCCAACTAATGAACCTTTTGCTCTCGGTGCAGATCAGCCCTCAGAAACAGTATTGCCAGCTGTCCTTGCTCTGGCTTTTGGAAATCACTTCTTCTGTGCTAGTCTTGCTGCAATATGTTGGATAAAATCTGGACATTACGCGCCCCGCCCCCAAATTCAGGGCAATTTGCGAAGCTGCAGAGGTCTGAGGCCTGGTGCAGAGCCGGGGCCTCCTCTCCAAAAAGCGTTTCTCTCTCCTGCGTAGGAGCGGCGTAAGGAGGCAGAACGGATCGCCCACGAGAGAGAAGAGCTCCGCCGCCAGCAGCAGCAGCTTCGCTACGAGCAAGAGAAAAGGAACGCCCTCAAGCGGCCTCACGATGTGGATCACCGGTGAGTGGGTGCCTGCCACAGGAGGCCTCCTTCCTGAGCAAGTCTGGACGGCACCAGCAGCCCATCTGGCTGTCCCGTGGGGTGTGGTTCGTGTAACTAGCCGAGTCCCGTGCGGTTGGGCGGCTGTTTGGGTTCCCACGGGCCGTGGCCAAGAGCTCTGAGGCCTTTCTCCCCCTTTAGAAGAGACGAGAGCTACTGGAACGAAAGCAAGAAGATGACTTTGGACACAGACACCCGCTTCGGCCACGGCTCTGACTACAGCCGGCAGCAGAACCGCTTTACTGACTTTGACCACCGGGAGCGGGGCCGATACCCCGAGGGTTCGGCAGTGCAGCCCTCGTCCTTTGAGAGGTGGGTGCAGAGGAGGCTCGGGGGGGTTCGGAAGGCCAAATGACCTTCAGCACGGGAGGGCAGAGAATGGGCACCTCCGAGACTTCATTGCAGCTGGCGAAGGAACTTCAGAAAAATAGGACCTTAAAACCAGGGAAGCAGAGAGCAAACCTCTCAAGAATAGCTAGGATCCTCATGCAAAGCTTTGGCCGAACGTCTTTCTTACCATCAGATTACTTATCAGTAACGATTATTTTACAATATATTATATTTGAATAAATATAATGCTGGTAAAATAATTGACTAAAAATTGAATCCCCTTTCGCAAGGAATTGTGTATGACTTGCTGCATAAAAATTGTACAAAACAAGCACAGACCTCAGGCTTGTTATGGAGAGGCAGCTTTTGTGTAAGCCTGAACATTTTTATTGGAGGCCTGGTCTTGCGTTGCTCTTCTTCTGTGCCAGTGACGTAGCTTTGCCCGTCTGTCTGTGCCCATCTGCCCGACTCCTCCGAGTTTCCGCCTTTGCTGGGCTGCTCCCCGAGGCGTCCAAGGGCCCCTTTCAGTGAACCGAGGAAGACACACTTTGCTTTTCTCATCAGGCGTGAACGATTTGTCAACCCAAGTGAGGGCAAAAAGACTCGTCCGACTGGAAGAAGGGAGGAGCCTGCGTTTGAGAGGTACCCCAAGAACTTTGATTCAAGAAGGAACGAAGCCCCCCAGCCTCGCAACGAGCTCCGAGACAGCGACAGGAGAGAAGTGAGGGGAGACCATGACGAGAGGAGGACTGTGATCATTCAGGAGAGGCCCAAGATCCCTCATGGCCGGCACCCACGGGAATCCGGCCCCAACCCCTCCCGGCAAAGCTCTTGGAAGGGGGAAGGAGGCATGAACCCCGAGAAACGGGATGCCAGGTGAGAGATGGACGGGGGCCCTGAAGGAGGTCGTTCCCTCCCCTCCTAAAGGCTACCTGTGACTGAAGCAGGGCCGGGCGCTGTGCTGAGGAGGGCTTTGGTTGGGCTCTTCTGGCACAGCCGCATCCCGCAGCTTGGGCCCAAGGACCTCCGTGGAGCAGGCCGAGGGACCGTTGCCTTCGGTTCAGCCCTCTCGGAGGCAGCTTAGAGTGCCAGGTTGACGTCTCCTTGTTTCCCCAGAGAAAGGACGGAAAGATCCGGCCGAGAGGTCTCTGGACATGCCGCGAGAGGGGCCCCTGCAGGCAGCCGCAGCGGCGCATCTGGCTATGGAAGCAGAGACACCGAGCGGGGCGTGATCGAGCGGGGCAGTGGCGGACAGGTGAGCCTCCGAATGGGCTGGCAGTGAGCAGGGCCTTGCCCGTGTTCCTCCCGCTTAGGGTGGCCGCTTCAGCAGGGATCTGGAGGCCCTCCCCTTGATATAGGCTGCCTTTCTAGCCCTCGGAGCGATCGCTGCGGCCGTAGGGAACGGTCTAAACTCCTCCGTCCAAGAATTGCACGTGGATAACTATTTCCTGAAGCCAATCTTGAGTGTCAGCAGCAGCAGCAGCACCTTAAAGGCATCGTTTCTCCTGTCTCTCTGGCAGTGAAGTCCCCACTCAGCTCCTCCTCCTCCTCCAGTCGTAAACCAGCCCTGGGAGACGCTGCTGCAAAGGGTTCAGTGAGGCCGGCCAGCTCTCTTCCAGGCTTTCCAAAGGGTTAGATTTGTCCCCCTGCTGCATGATGTCGTTCTGCTCTTAGATTAACCTCCCTCCCTCCCTTCCCTCCTTCCCAGCATTATAACGAAGACCGCCATGTGGTTGAGCGGCATGGCCGTGATGCCGGACCAAGGAAAGAGTGGCATGGCCCCAATTCACAGGGCAGCAGTTACCACCACGAAGCGAGGAGGATGGGAGAGCCGAACCGGAGGCGGCACGATGTCTTCTCACTCAAGGTACCTTTGATGCTGCCTCCTCCCACCCCCACCTGAAACCTTTTAGCGGTTGACAGTCAAGCGTGTGGCCCTTGGGGGCCCCCAATAAGCAAATCCTTTCAGCCGGGAAATGCTGGCAGTCCCAGCTCTTGGAAGGCTGCTTCCACGGCACGGGTTTACCCGTCACAGGGTCCCTACGCAACACCCCCCCCCCCAGGGGCCGCCATTTCTTTTCTTCCTCCCACAGCCGCCCTTTTTGGCACCCCTGTTGGCAGTGTCTTCAGTTAAGTCTTGAGTTTTTCATTTTTCAAAAGCTCATAGCTGTTTCTCTTTAAAATTTATTCCAGTAATTCTTCACCCATTAACAGAGTTCTACAAATTGCCGGCAGTTCCAAGCAGAGGGAAGCGGTTCTGGATTTAAGCAATTTAAGAGTGGACCTGCACGAAGATTTTGAGCCCTTTCAACCTGCTCGCTCCTTGGTCTCAAGATAACTTATTGGAAATCTCTTGTGAACAGAAAGCTTTGGATGAGAAAACTTGTCTTTTTAAATTTTCATTTTAACATAGTTGCATTTTCCTCACTTCGGAGGCATTCTAAGTAAGTTAGGCTGTTGGGTTTGGGGTAGTTCAGGATCTCTCTTGAAGAGCGCTGCTCCCTCCAACTCCAGGACCCCCCGAGCGAATGGGGAGCAAAGACATGCGCGCTGTACAGAAACCTGGTAGTTTTCATTTGCCGGCAGTAGCTCTGTAAATGTCAGGCTTGAAAATTAGGTCCTTGCCACAAAATATATGGGTAACTGAAGCTGTACATCAACCCCCCTCCCCCCCCCTTGCTTTTTGGTGTGTAGAACAGGATGGTGGTTTTAATTTCTGGGTATTATGTAACTATTTTTGCAGAACTTGTTACACTGAGTGGATCCTTATCCAAACCAATGTAGCTCCTTTCCAAATAAACTTCATAATCTCTATAGTACCTGCCTGGATACCTTGGTGTGTCCAATGCCGCCCTCTGATCCTCACATTTCCCTTTCTTGGGGAACTGAGCCCAGGTGGCGCAGTGGTCAGAGTGCAGTACTGCAGGCGAGGTCAGCCGACTGCTAGTTGCAGTTTGGCACTTCAAATCTCACCGGCTCAAGGTTCACTCAGCCTGCCTTCCTTGTTGGGGCCCTATGCTGACTGTAAACAGCTTAGAGAGGACTGTAAAAAGCACTGTGAAGCGGTTTGTTTTTATTTAAGTGCTATTACTATTGGTTTAAAATTACTATTGGTAAAAATGAAAAGATGTCATACTTTCTGGAAAATGACGTAGCTAAAGGTATAAAAGCACTTTCAAAAAAGGCAGTCCAACAAAGCGTGATTGCCGGTTTCCTTGCAGAGATTCTGCTGCTGATTAATTGCTGTCCGCCGTTGGTCTTCCTCCTGTCCTTCTGTTTGGTTCCCCTCGGCCAGGTCGGTTTGCCTGTTCTTGCCCAGGTATGGCAGTGAAGTGCTTCTGTTAGTGGCTGGAGGGGCAATCCTCAGCATTCCTGGGCAGAAAAGTGAGTTTCTAGCATTAGGCTCCACCTGCTCCAGCTACCAAGTGGCAATTTGCCAAAAACAGCTTGGGTTGCATTGCATTTTCTTTGGCGTACTCGCATGGTGATGGCCGCTGACTTGTTGAAAAGTAGGGTGACATTGAGCTGGCATATTGACTGAGGGTCAGCAAAAACGCTCTGGCTCATTTAGGGGTGAGGTCAGTCTCTACCTGGTGAAGGTCTTGGCCAAAGCAGTGACCTTCCACAGGGGGCTCCACCCCACCGCAAGGGCTTCTCTGCTCAAACACCACATAAACGCTAAAACTTGAATCCATTTTTATTACATGAGAATGTCACTTAAATCTGTTAAAAATTATAAATATATATATAAAAATTAGACGAGACTAGCAACAGGTGTCAGCTCAAGACATCAAAGAACGTGGACAGTATTCAACAGAAAGCAGCTATCCGCTGATCACAGTGTAAACCCATGCAAAGTGTTGGATTTGCTAAAAGGAAGCTGGTGATTGAGCCACAACCTCATCGTCCATAAATATGGAGGACCGAACAAAACGCTGCCTGAAACTTGAATGTGTCGCATCTAACTGAGGCAAAAGGCCACGGCTGCCACCGCCACCAAGCCAGCCGAAGGCCACTCTGGGCCGAGGCTCTGCAGTGGGCGATGGGATGGAGCCACTGAGTTGGCCCAACGGCCCTTTGCCTTCCTCTCCATGGGTCCCATGCGGCTTGCGGTCTACAGTATCGTGTAGAAGGGAGGCGAAAGGGCTGCTGTGGGGAAGAGCCAAGCCGTCAAGTCACCCGAGTTGCGGAAGGAGGCTCCTAGCCCAATTGGCATGATTTGGGGGTGGGTGGGCGGGGTGGGGTTTCAGCAGGATCTTACAAAAGGATTTGGCAGTGCTGAAGAAAGGTTTTGCTGATGGACTTGCTTCTGCATGCATTCCCACAGCAGAGACCCTCGGCTGCTTTCCCTCCCAGGGTGCCCCTTGTGCATCTCCTGGGCACCTGCTACGGAAGCCCTGGTTCCCTGCGGAGGCAGGGCATGCTGGGTTAAGCTCAAAATGTGTGCGTCGTCAGGCAGGGCAGCATCAGGCGGAGGCAAAGCAAAACAAAGGTTTCTGCAGAGATAAAAAAGGCAACTTACGCCGAAAGTAACTTTGGGGAGAGGTAGCCAACGTGGAGTCTGCTAGTAAGGCCTTGGGGACCGCCCTCCAGCTGCAGAAGCAACCCGACAAGCGGGGAGAACGAAGGGCCCCCTCCTGGCACCAGCCCCTGCCTGGCTACCACTTGTCAAGTCTTCCCAACAGAGGCTGCCACAAGGACGGCTGTGCTGGCAAGACCCAGAAGCAGACTAAGCTGCTACTGCTTGGCATGAAAGATGCCCTTACTCTGTGCGCTTCTAACGAGAGGGAAGGGCCACTTCTCCACCCAAGAACCACACAGCAGGCACAATGCTTCACCAACACTACAGCAGACGAAGACCAGGCCCTGAAGACGACCCCGGGCACAATTTGGGCAAGACCATTTCCCCTGAAAGTGGCACACGGGTATGTGAAGAATTGGGAAACGGACGTCCTGGTTCGGCTCTCAGAACATCACTTCTAAAGCAAACTGCCAGCTTGTCCTGTGTTTGCTAGAGTTCCGTATTTCATAATTGTCAAACACCACGCAAAAAAAACGGTACAAATGTAAACCGCAAGGCTGATTTTTTTTTTTAGGACAAACCTCAGTCTGACTTCAGTGGTAGGCTGTCGAAAGTTATTAACACGGGACGGCACTCGGTCTAAAACAGATCAGGGTAATGGGCAGATATCAAATATAAGATTGGAAATATGTAAGAGATCTGCTTACATATCGCTCCAACATGATACAAGGTAAACTCAGTTCTGCATAAAACCATCCCGCGTGTCAGCCAGGGCGCTTCGTACTTAAAAATGCATACACAGCAGATGCAAACCCAAACCTCACGTGTGGAAACGTCACTAAAATTAACTATTCTTTTCCCCCTTCATCGTCCTCCGGCTTAAGGTATTTAAAGAACTGTAAGGCAAGAGTTAGAGACAGGTCACTGCCTTGCTAGTTTGGCCTCCATCCCAAAAAGGAAAACACATGAAGCTACCGGTCTTCCCTGACATTTCAATCATCTCCTTCCCTGCACTTAAGATTGTCACATTCTGTGTGAATGTTGCCGTGGGACCCAAATCTGTGTATCGACAGCAAAGTCTGGCCTGAAGTCCCGTCTTTAGAAGTACAGCAAACATTGTCTAAAGCGTTTGCAAAGTGCTATAAAGTTATTGGGAGGACGAAGGTCGCTGCCCTTCCTTCCTTCCTCGCAAAAGCCAACGGGCAATTCCAGCCAGGAGGCGATGCATCCTATGACGTGTGGCCTGCGGATTTAGATTGGGGCTTACAAAACTGGATTCTACCCCCACCCCCACCTCCTCCAGGGGTATCCCCTTTTCTCCAAAGACAGCACAGCCGCGTCTTCCAGGAGCCAGCAAGGGCCGCTGGTGTCCAGGGGACTCATTTGTTAGGATCCGTGTCCTGGAATGATCCACCTCGCAAGAGACAAACGATGGACCTGCAGTTCACCTGTTGTGGCAGGTGGGCGACCACAGCTTCACGCTGCTCACACTTGAGGCCCCTTTCAAACGAATGGGAGCATCCGCTTCCTTTCCCCCCCCCCTCCCTCCAGAGCCCGGCAGTTGATGAAAAACTTGGGAGGCCCGAGGGGACCTGGGCTCCTCTTGCTTCGAGGGGTTCTGAAGCCTGATTTGTGGCCGGATCAGCCACGGAAGCTCAGCTGAAGCTTGTTGAGGGACTCAGCCTGCCAGTCCAGGGACCCCCTTGCCTGAACTCCGTCTGCGGGGCGTCGGACCCCACACTGATCTTCTCGTGATGATCCAGAGGTGCCCTCGAGGCAGGCGGTGAGCTGCTTCTCTGCCACTGTGGGGGCACGTTGACCATCGCCCCACCACGCTCCATTCCACAGCAGGCTGCCCCCTGCCCAGATCCCTTGGCAAGGCGGTGTTTGTGGAGATCTTCAGGAGGCCTTCGGCTGTGGGCTCCCCAGGCACTGGTGGCGGGTGGGCCTCCCGCTCACAGGATCCCTGGTACTTCAAGCGGATGTGCTGGGCTCCAGAGCCACCCTTCTTCCGCTACAAAATGGCACAGGCACTCTTCTCCTTCTCCCGCGGCTCTCTCCTCTTCCGCTCGCTGCCCCCGGGCTGCCTTTCTGCTGAGGGAGGGCTGGCATCGTCCTGGGCTTCCTGTTCAAGGGGGGAATACAAAGGGGGAAAAGGGGTGCTTACTGGCATCCTTAGCTGAGCTTCCATGAAGCCAAAAGGACCCCGAGGGGTCCGTCTGCCAGCTGAGCAACAGCTGGAGGGGCTGCAGACGTGGCAAATCCCCCGGAAGCTTTGGGACAGGAGGAGGCTTTAGCATCACTATTTTGAGATGGGAAAATAACACTTTCTCTCATGGTGTCTCAACAACTTCCATGGAAGAAAACCTATTTTCCCACGAGGAAGACGATTCCCACTGTAGCATCAGAACATGCCAAAGCCAGGACAGAAAATGAATCTGGAGGCCAGGCAGAAACCCGGCTTGAGCCTCTCCCCAAGGCACAAAGAGCTTCCAAGGGAGATGCCGGGAATCCCAGGCACCGCTTTCGGCCCTTGAGTGCCCAGAACCACTTGGAGATGCGCCAGGAACCAAACCTAGGATGCCACGCGTGGAAAGGGCCCACTGAGCCACGGCCCCTCCTTCTCCAACGGCACCTGGAACTGCTGCGGCTGCCCGTATGCCTTTACCTGGTCTTCAGCCGGGGTGGCGGCAGGGGTGGCAGCTTGCTCCTGCTCCTGGTAGTACTGCGAGGCCTGTCGATCTTCTTCTTCCTGGAGCTTCTTGGCCAGCTCGAGGTCATTGATGTCTTCCGGGAGCTGCTCCCAACTGAGGTCTCGGCTTTGCTGCTCTTGTTGCAGAGATAAGGCCATCAGGTAGTCCTGGGATGCAAAGCCGCCATCCGTGAAGGAGCTGCACAGTTTGGCCCTCCTCCCACCGTGGCAGGCGCCTTCCGTTCAGACGGAAGCAGAACTCCTCAGGGAGCACCAGGAGGCCCCGGGTACGAACCCAAAACGCTGGATGAGAGAGGAGGAATCCTAGGAGCTTCCGCCCCATCCCCCCCCTCCATGGACAGGAGGCATCGCCAGAGGATTCCTGCAAGGCCTTTCGTAAGGACACAGCAGGTGGCGTTTTGGGGAAACAGAGTCCTGCCCCCCCGTTTATTAAGGGGATAAAGTGGTCAGAAGGGGGGTCGGGAAGGAGAGAGAAATCGACCCCTGAAGAATAAAGTCAAAAGGACGAAGGAGCTTCCCACGGATACCTGATCAATCTGATCCTGCTGCCCCTGATACACCGTTTCCGGATCCGATGGAGGTCGCAGGTGGAATTCAGAATCACAGAAGTTCCCATCCCCGTCCACGTTGTGCAAACTTTCCCAAACCACCTTATCTTCCGTAAGGAAACCTTGGTCGGTCACCAGAAGGTAAAGCTGGCCCTGAGGGGAAGGGAAAAATCCGCTGTTAAGGGAGAGCAGGCCCTGTTTGCACTGCGGTGAGCAAGGCTGCCCCCCCTCCCCTGTCTTCTCCAGAAACCATTCGCAGGAGGGGGTCTCCTTTCTTGACAAAACGGCCGCTCTTTCTTCACTCTGACAGCCACCGCAGCGAGCAAAGACAATACCTTGGAGTGCATAGGACACTCCGCTTCCTTCGTGAAAAAGATATTCCTGGGCATGTGTTGTAATATAGTTGCAGAGCCACGCTGAATCACACAGGAGAAAACAAACTCCTAAAACGCCATAACATCCTGATAGTGCATAACATAACATTCTGAGATGTGCACTACCAATGACGTCCAGGATTTGACCATATATAGACAGAACGTTCCTGAAGCAGTAGATTAGAAATTGTACTTTTACAGGCTGTTTTTAATCACATGCTATTGCTCCTCCTGCCTTTGTCGTATCTCAA